GTTTCAACTTATATTGTTAATATTTTAAGAGAAACTTATATCAAATTCCTTTAATTTTAATGGCATAAGATTTCGTAACAATGAATTAACAAGGATTAGAAAAATATTATTGAATAAAGAATACAAGGATTAGAAAAATATTAAGGATTTGTGAATTTGGATATGTCCAACTTGATAACGTTAAGAAACTGGCATATCTGTGACTTCAAAATTGCAATAATGCTACATTATTACGCAATTCAGCAGTAACAACCTGAATAATGCTAAAATATCTTATTACTACAATTTTGAAGTAAAAATGAGTGTGTGTAATATAATAATCAAAGAAAATACATAAGCCAAATATAATTTTAAAGAATTAAATAAAAATAGAAATTAATTTTCCGGTTCCGATAAATCTTCATAATATGTACATATATAAATTTTATTTCTAAAAATTTCTGTCAAAAATCAATAGATTTATTGAAAATCATAAAAATTGATAGGATATTAATGAGGCTCAATAAAAAAACATTAGAAATATTTTATAGAATATTAAAATTATATAACCTTGCCATAACTATTGCATTTAGTGTTATTAAGCATTTCGTGATTAATTGATAATGGGAATAAAGGTATTATAGTAACCTTCAGAAAAAATTAAATTCTGTAATATTTAAATTATGCTAGACAATAAAAATTTTTATACAACTAATAAACAAAAAAAATCCATATTGAACTCTTAACCAATTCAATAAAATATTAAAAAAAAAAAAATTGGTTTCCAATCGATCAATATAATATAAAAGTACAATGTACGCATAAACATAGTTCTTTTATTTCTAAAATTATTAAGCTACTATACTTAAGTAATCACGAACAAACTACAAAATCACACCTCTACAAGTAGATTATAATAAAACAAAATAATAAATTGTTTTCATTTCAATTTCTGAATTGAATTTCTTAACTTTCAAATTTTACAAAATTTAACAGAGTTATTGTGTGTTTCAATAGTAGATTGTATGTAGCAATCAATGTAAACAAAACAAATACTTAGTAATCATGTGAATTACAGTATAAGCAATGTAGAGAACATTTCGTCGGCAATTTCTTCATGCCTCTGTAGCTCAGTTGGTAGAGCGTCCACCTAGAAAGCGGTAGGTCACTGGTTCGAGTCCAGTTCGAGGAGAAAAATTTTTTTAATGAATTTTTCTGCCTTTAACTCGTTCCTTTGATTACGTCATCCATCTGTTCTGCAGTTGCATGAAGAAATTTCCATTAAGATAAATTAACAGAGACAATTAATTTGAATATTTAAATTCATTTATTATGCTGTGGCAATAAAATCAAAATCATTTTACTGATGATAATGAGACATAAACCTTAATTAAAGAAGACTCAAAATAAGTATGTACCAGTATTTCACTGAATTTGTTTAATTCAAGTTAAGTTGTTGTAAAATTTAAGATTAATTATTTCTGAAGAAACATTTTGTTTGAAAAATTTCAGACAGCATAATATACGAGTACACAGAATACAGATAAGCTTTTATGTTATTATCTGTAACTAAATTATGATAAAAATTTAATTCCAAGAAGTGTTTATTACAGTATATATATTTATATCATAAAATACTAGGTAAACAAACTTAGAGTTAAATAAACCAAAATTTAAAGTATTAGTAAATCTTAACAGTTCTTTGCATCTTTCTTTGCAAAGTTGGAATGTATTACTTAAACTGTCAAAAATACTGTTACCGATTTCATACATTTATGCTTTATGTCAATAGTTTTTAGTTGTGACTGGTTTACTCCAATCAAAGACCACTTATAATTATGCTTTTATCGTTTTTGCTTAAACGTAAACACTAAAAAGATGGCGAAATAAACAGATAGAGTGCCATTAGATTTTCCCAAAATAAGTAAGTTTTGCCTCTTTATACTCGTACTTCAAGTATGTTTGCCTATCAAATAAATTTCAAATTTCATTCAACTGTATAGGAATTTTTATTTGGGGATGCAAAATAAAATGAAAAATTTGACTAAATTAAAAAAAAATTTACTGTTTTAAAACTTGACACTATGTTTTAATGCGTTCCTGTAGACTTTTAATCATATTATTATCAATCAATGACATGACAGTGGTAGTTAAGCTTTTGAATTCGTAAAATTCCAATTTCAATATTTTTATTATGCCATCAGGCTGATTAAAATTCGCGATTTGCATACGCATACATAAAAATCGTGTTTTTTTTTTTAATTTTTTTATGTTTCAAAAGAATTTTAATGCCATATACAAATGCAGCATAAAAATTGAATAAAAACTCAGGAAACTTGATTGACAAGACAACTTCAATTTTTGTTTTTATTCTGATTTTGTTTGATACCAATAGTTATACTTACTCCCCTACAATTTATATGACGTGTTACGCTTAAAGATTTTTTTTTCTTGTTAATTAAATAAACTGAACAATCAATACAAAAATAGAATGAGAGAAAAAACTGCGTGACTGTAAAATAAATAATAATAAGTGAGAAAACAAATGACTAAATCAGGTGTTAAAAGTTTCAGAAATAGATTTTAAATGTTTTTCTTCTATTTTCTTTTCTACTAAAATTTTTTTTATTAGAAAGTTTTCTTAATTCTTTTACATACGTTTATAAAAATTGTAAATACGAAGATTTAGTATTTAGAATGATAATAACAAAAATACATACATAATTAGAAAGTGTTACCAATTACGTTTGAAAATCAATTTTAAATTACAAATTACAAACTATAACATCTCTTTAGTACTATAAAGTTAACAGCGATCGACATTCTTATTGATTTACTGATCAAGTTCCGAGCGCCACGTATTCTTAGCACTTCTCCAAAAAATAAAGTTGGGTCAAACCAATGGTTTGTATTGTAGCACTTTTCCCTTCAACTAGTGAAAATTACTGCTAATACAGTCTACGTATATCAACCACACTATTAAAATTATTTTTAATCATAAACGAAACTATTTCTAGGATTGCATATATTTAGGATGATGCATATATGCAGTCTTTGAAATAAAGCAAAAATTAATATAAAGAAGGGTTAACAGAATGCTCGATTTTAAGGTTTAATTGTGTGAGTTAAGAAAAATAATTATATTTTTAAATGTCATGGAATTTCCCGTTAGCTTTTTGCGTTTATAGAAATTTGAAAAAGCTTGCGGTTTCGGAAATATAAGGTGTCAAAAATTCAAATTTTACAAATTTCATGAGGCGGTAACTTGAGAGGGGGTGGAGATGGAAAAAAATTTTCTTCTAACGAAATGAACAATTTGTTAATGTCTAAAAGCCCCTAAAATTTCAAGCTTTTACAGGCTGGGGTCTAGAAGAAAAACGACATCAAAAATTTGGAAAAAAAGGACTTTAGATAATTGTAAATTTGAACGGCCATTTTGTTTTTCTAAAGTTTAACTATAGTATACCGCGCTAGGGGAAGCAAGACGCTGCCTTTCTGCGTTTGCAAAATTTCAAAAATGCTTATGGTTTCAACGAATAGTTAACGAATAGTTAAAAAAGGTCATTTTTAGGGTTTTAGGGGGGTATAACTTCTAGAGGGGGGGAGATAGGTAAAAATTTTGTTCTACGGAAAAAAGTTTCTAGTAAAGATCTATGTGCGTATTAAATTTCAGCTTTCTATTTTCAAGGGTATAGAAGTTTTGTAAACAGACACACGGACAGACGGACGGACGAATGGCCGGACGGACGGACAGAGTGAAACTAATAAGCACTTTTTTTCAAAAAATTTTTGGAAAAGTGCTAAAAAAACATTTTAAAAAAAAAAAAGTGCTTGTTAGTTTCACTTTGTCTGTCCGTCCGTCCGTGAAAACTGAATTTTCATATGTAGTGAAGTAGTCACTAGCTTCTTTTAGTATGGCATACCATATTTTAAAAAATGGTATCATTTACCATAAAATTTACCGTTACCTAAAATCCGATTTTGAAGGGAAAAGTGATACGTTACAAGCCATTCGTTTGACCCAAATTTATTTTTTTTATTCCTTCCAGCATTTTATTTGAGTTCTGTAAATTATGTTACAATCAATAGTAATTGAATCATGTTGATTTCCCAAATATTTATTTCAGGTCAATAAAATTACAAAATTTTATTTAGTAGAAAAGTGGCTTAAATAATTGACAAATTAGGGTTCTTTCATTTCTCAAAATATTACGAATTGTAAAACAACAATACTGTGAAAAATTTAGTAATTCTTGATTCCATTTTTTTTAATTTAGTTTTGCTTCTTGTAGCCATTGTAACATTTTTCTACTTATTTCTTCAGATTATCATTGATTTGTAATGTTTGAAAACAAAAATTTTGTGGCAATGTTGTTTTCAAATGTAACAAATTGTCTTATTCGTTAAGGTAGAGTTTTCGACATACTTTTCCGCATGAGAAATTTTGGTTTTTTTTTTAATCTTTGAGGAATTTTTTATTTTTTTGTGTCTTCTTTTTAATAATGTTAAGATTAAATTAAAAATTTGGTTATGTTTTATTATGCAAATGATTATAAATGATCATTTACCTCATTTCTTTTTGAGTCTTTGACAGTCATTTTGAATTATTTATTGATTTTGTTGAATTTTTATAATAAAAGTATCGTCATAACCTGCTCATCTTCTTTTTCACTGAAACTGTAAATTAGGTTTTAATCGTAAGAATAGAAAATAATTTATTGAATTTTAAAATAATATTTTTCCAAAATAATAACGGGTTCGTTATTGAAACCTAGTTTATATTATCTGAATAAGGTCTAATAAAAATTTTACTGTAAATAAATTAATATGTGACATGAACAGCAAATTTTACCCTCCTTTAATTACGATTTAAATGAAAATTTTTGGCGGATACATTTAAGAAGTACAAGTCGAATCAATTGAAAGTTGAAAACATTTTCATTCAATTTCTTATACATATATAAAGAAAAAAATCCTGCCGTACAATTTCGAAAAATCCAAAAATAAAAACCTTCTTTTAGGATCACCTTGGCACGTCGATATCATGTCATCACCTGGTTTAACAGCACTAGGTGAATCAACACGTTTAGTACCAGCTAATTCACCGGCGGTTTTTGAGATACTGCCGCCTCCTGGAGCAAGCCTAAATAGAGGCGAGTGCCTAGCTTCAGTTTTGTCACCATCAAAGACAAAAGTGAACGCTAGAATCACCCACGAGGCGGCAAATGGTGCTATGCGAATTGAATTTGTACCAACAGAAGTTGGTACACATATAATCGAAGCATCAATTGGTGGAACAAAATTATCTGGTGGACCTTTAATTGCAAAAGTCTATGATTCCAGTTTAATACAAGTTACAGATGTTAATGGTGGTGTTGTTGGTCAACCATGTCAATTTCGAGGTAATAAAAATTTATGAAAAAAAACGCGGTAAAAAAATTTGTACTTACTTACGTTTATACATATGTATAGTGGATGCAAGTGCAGCCGGTGAAGGGCAATTAGAAATATCAATAAATGAAGGTGAAGTACCAAATCATGTACAAGTTGTTGGTGGTGGACGATGTTTAGTTAGTTTTACACCAGAGCAACCAAAACCACATATGATCGATATAAAATTTAATGGTGAAACAGTACGTGGATGTCCATTTACATGTCAAGTAGCTGATACAAGTCGTGTTATGTTAAATTTACAAAATCTAGAATTAATACCATTAAATAGACCAGCATCATTTCATATAAGTGTTGGAGGTGGTGGTGCAGCTGAATTAGCAGTTAGTGTACGTGGGCCACAAGGTGAATTACCAGTACGTGTTACTGGTGATATACATGCTGGTTTTACAGCAGAATTTACACCAACAAATGTCGGTGGACATACAATTAATGTTGAATATAATGGTTTTGCTGTACAAGGTACACCATTTACAGCTAAAGCATATGATGCCAGCAGAGTTGTTGTTGGTAATGTATCGAAAGGTACATTAGGTAGACCAGTACAATTTACTGTTGATGCTGGTGATGCTGGTGAAGGAAATTTAGAAATAACAATATCAGCTAAAGGACATAATATACCAACACAAGTTCATCCACAAGGAAATGCAAGGTGCGATTATAAATTCCACAAAATTTGATTTTGAACAACGGACAGTTTCATGATATTGAAAACAAAAACATTTTGAATTTTTCTTATAGATTCTCAGTTTCATTTGTACCAAATGAACCCTGCGAACACATAATAAATGTTTCATTTAATAAAATGCCTGTACCAGGCTGTCCAATAGAGGTACAAATTGGTGGTGGTACATCTGGACCACAAGTATCATTAGGTGGTCCTGGACCAGTACATCAACCCAATTCATTTATAATCAATCATAATGGAGGACGTTTAGAAGATATCGAAGTTAATGTTGAAGGTAAGATGGATTTTTAGTTTATTTGTCCAAAAATTGTGTAAAAAAATTGTAAAAAAAATAAACAAAAAAAAAACAATTAAACAGAAAAAAAAATGTCATTATTTCTCTCTCTCTCTCTCTTTTCTTCTTGTGTTTGTCTCTAAAAACATGTATTAAAAAAACCAACATTTTCATCAATTTTAATTGAGAATTCATGTTGCACAAACAAAGAAACAAATTGAAAAAAAAAAAATTTTTAATTTTACTTAAAAAAAGTTGATTTTTTTTTCAATTTGTTGATGTTTTCTTTATTGTAAATTAATTTTACTATCGAAACATAAAATAAAAAAATTCCTCTTTGAAATTTAACTATGAATTTTGTAAGAATAACTTTAATCGAATATTTAATTTAATGTTTTGGAAACGACATTTTTATTTACAGAAATCGTGTAACTATTATGGTAATTTCACGCTTTAATGTTTGTGATACCATATAAAACTATTTACGAGTGTATAGCGTACAAACGTGATTTGAAATTCAAAATATTTTCAAAGTAATAAATCAACCGTTGCTGTTCATCAATAATGTTGTAAATTTGTAATATAAAATCCATTGGATTCAATGTTAGGCATATCTTTAATTTACATACATAACTAGTACCTGAAATTTACTTAAGAAATTTTTGTATTGAAGATTTTTGTAAATAGTGTGTATTATATAAAAATAATTATTTCTGGGGATCTTATAATTTATTAAGAACTCAGAATTCTACTGATTTGTCTTTTGACATTAACGCAACATAATAACCAACTGTTATTTTAAGTAAATTAAGTAATTGCAATTAAAAAGTTTATTTGCATCATCTCTGAATTATGAATATCTGCTTCTGATCTCTGAACGTGTAATCGTGCAAATTATGTTTACTGAAAAACTCCTCGTTCATTATACGACGAGTGTAAATAAAATGATAAATTTTGATTTGCTAAAAGAAGATTGTAAACTAAGCCACAGCGAAGTATAGTCGCATCTAAAGAATTTTATCACTAATATATAGTTTTTTTTTATTTATTCAATTATTTAAAATTAAAATGTCTGCAATGAACATTGAAAAATTTCAAGTTTCAATAGAGAATTCTCATAATAATTAAAATTTTTTCGTAATAAGTTATAGGGCTAGGCTAATAAAAGTTTAGAATACTTAAAATAAGCTTTTGTCATCTAAAAATTGTTTTTTTTTTGGATTTCTGAAATCTATAGTTTTTGCTTATCTCAGTTTACTTATAGTATATGGCCCCCTTAAAATTTATGTAGCGGTTACTGTCTTTTGCCCAAATTCTTGCAATTTTGTATTGCATTTTCGTATCTAACGAGCGGCCTATGTCTTATTCATGGAAAATATATTGCTTTTTTTTCGTAATACAATAAGTATTATAATTGTATTACGATATTAACATTATGGAAAAGTAAAATAAAATCAAATACATAATTTATATACAATTAGCAATAATATTAAAAAAATTAACAGTAATACTGTTGATTTGTACGTAATTTTAACGCATTCACTGCCAGCTACAAAATATCTCGTAGTAAAATGTTCTTAAAATATACCACTAAGAGATATCTCGTAGTTAAGACCAGGAATGTTACTTGTACTTGAAATCAATATGGCACAGCTAAATAAATTTATTATTGTTTTACTTGAAAGAAAGTTTTTTTTAGTTCGAGCATAAAGGGAAAGTCCCGAAAATTTATTTTGTTTTGGAATGGAATTTTATGCATATAAAATTTAGTAGTGCTCAGTTTTTCGAGATTAAAGGCTGTTTTAAGCTCGAATTTCTATTTCTGTTTATTTTTAAGGAATTTCCTGTAACTGTCCAAAAATTTATAAAGAAATAAGTTCTACAGGTCCTTTGTAGTTCTTTTTAGAACTTTACTTCGTATAATTTATAGTACAAGATAAAATTAAGAAATGGCACCTGGGGATAAAATGAAAAAAATCCCTTGGCAGCGAATGCTTTAAAACGCGCACAATATGTAATCGAATGAATTTTAAGTTTTTTTATAAAGCATCAACAAAAAAAAAACAATCACTTGATCGTATTTTGATGATATTGGTTAAACTTTTATCACTCTAACGCTAATTTTTTATAAAATAAATCAAATTATCGAGAAATTTATCAAATTTATATTAGCAATGAATTTATTTACCCGGTGAATTTTAGACAAGTGAAAGCAAAACAAAAGAATACAGAAAAATCGAAATTTTTAATTAATAAAAATTTTTTTCACATATCGTAATTTCTTACAAAATACATAGTAAAATTTCTAATTTGTATTTATGTTGTATAAATCTTTTCATATCCCCTTTTATTATTATTGTTTAATGTATTGGATTGTGATTTTAAAAATTCTTATATATTTATATAAATATCCTTCTTCTATATTATTATTTCAGGGCGACGAAGACTCTTATACTAGACTTCTTTAATCATTGTTATATATATATATATATATTATAAATATAAATACATATTATATTTTGTTCATAAATTATAAATACACTTGATTAATTTTATCGGACTAATTTGGCAACATATTGTATAAAATTTTTCTTATAATTGAAATTAAGAAAATAAGAAAACAAAAAAGGTGTTCAAAAAGCATAAAACAAAAAAGAAAAGAATATATAATTGTATATATATATTTTTTTTTATGAAACTACCAAGTACATACTTAAAAAAGAAAAAGAAAAAACTCAATTTTTTTTTTTTAATATTCAATGCATTTCATAAATTCATCAAAGCAAATAGCGCTTCTTTAAATTTTTAAAAATTGTATACTAACCAACCCCCTTTGTTTTATATAGGGAAATTAAAAAAAAATTGCATTACTATACTTAATATGCGTAACTGATAGCACAACGAGCAAAATAACGATTTTTTTTTTGTCATTCTTACAAAACATCAAAATTTGACTTATGCGCTTTTTTGTTTTAATTCTTATGTAATTTGCTTTTGCCGCAACATTTTAATTTTTTTGTTTTTGTTGTTTTGGTAAATGGAGAATCCGATAAAATTCAATATTGTTTTTTTTTTTTTTTGTTTTAAGAAAAAAAAACAAATGATTTTTATTAATTAGCTATTAAAAATTAAAAAAAAATATTGTTATGTATTAATTACATACAATTTAAAAAAAGACAAAAAAAACTGATGACTAACAGTAAAAGTTAAAATGCTAATTTAATAAATTTAATGAGAAATAATCCAGCTTTACTTTGTATTTAGGAATTAGAAGAGAGAATTAATTGTAATTTTTTTTTTGTTTAATTTTTTTTACAATTTAATTTTATTACAATAATTATATAAATTAATTTAAGCTTTTAAAAAAATAAATATGTTTTGGTTTAAAATATTTTGGTGTTGGTTTATATATTATATATGTATATATATATATATTTTATTTTTTCTTAAAATTTTATATATAAATTAAATTTGAAAAGAGAACAAATGCAATATAAAATTGAGCTCAGTTGAGTATTTCATTAAAAATTCTTATGAACAAAATCAAGCGTTCTAATAAACTCTCGTAAGTTCATTTGTAACACTCAAAATTTATGAACTGTATATTTAGCAACAGTTTCTGTATAATTGAGCTTTTAAATACAATTAATTAATAGCTATTATTTGAGTGAAATTTCATGGACAATTCTAAAATTCTCTAGGTTCTTAAATAATTATTTAATGAAAATATGCATAGTGCAATATTTTTATTCAACAGTTTCTGGCGATACGAAAAAAGCCTGAAACTTTTTTTCCTCATTTTTATGAAATTTTGTTATAGTGCCACACATGTTACATTAAACATAAACTACACCGTTTTCAATAAAAATTTGTATGCACAAAATGACAATTTGTAATGATTTCTGATTTAGTTTTTATACATATACATTTAATACATACGAGTATGCATATTTTGTACATGAAAATAAAGTTATATAAGACAATAATTTGCTAACACAATTATTCAATTATAACTAAATCGACCAATGATTCCTTGATGAATAGAAGGAAACGGAAATATGTTATAAAATCATTTCTGAGCAAATCATTCGAAGTCACTTCAATTTTGAATGTGAATTACAAAGTATAACAACTATTATACTGAGTCAGAACCATGCAAAGGCAGTTTTCGTAGTTCAAATTGTCTTATTTAATTATCATATATGCGATTATTATTAAAATTTCTGGAACAAAATAAATAATTTGATACTTAAAGTGTCAAGTCATTTACTTTGTTTCTACAATACTGAAAGTTAAAGTCAATCGCATTTTCGGTGTTTTTAACAAGGTAACTGAAAGAATTTTTAAAACTAGGTTCAAACTTCCAAATTATTTCAATATAACAGTTTAATTTTACGTTGCAATTTTTTTCTTTTCTAAATTTTATTTATAAAACTTAGAATATATATATATATATATATATTGATAAATAAATATAAATGTGTATATATAAAATTTTACTTGTATAAAGCTGTAAATGTTTTGCATTCGCATTTCTACCATAGAAGACTAATTAAAAAAAAATTTAGTTTAAAATATCAAGTACATTTACTAATTCTTATACTAAATCAATTTCTAACTTATTAACATTAACTTTTTGGACTGCATTTTCATAATAAGTGCACTTTCTTTCAAAAAATGAAGAAATAAAAAATGAAACCTTAATATACCGAGTTATTAAATATTTTTTGACTAAACCTACTTTTTTTAAAAAAACACACAAAACCTTCAACATCAACTTTCGCTCAACCTAAAAAAAAAAAAATATAAAACAAAATAAAACCATAAATTAATAATATTCGCTAAAAATAATAATACTACACAAACACACAAAAACACATAATGGACAAAACTATTGGATGTCGAATATTTGCATAAATAAAGGTCCAGCAGGACAATCTGTTCCAGCTCAGGTTCATCAAACAGCTGAGGGTATATTTAAAGCAGAATTTGTTCCACGATCAGTTGGAGAACATCGTGTAACCGTTACCGTTAAAGGACAACCTACCGCTGGAAGTCCATATGCTGCTAAAGTAAGTACATACTATATTGTTAAAAATTGATTTACTGAAGTTTTCTTAATTTTCTAAAGGTTTATGATGTAAGCGCAATTAAAGTAAAAAATGTTAATCACGGTACAGTTGGAAAAGCCGTCACATTTCTTGTTGAAACTTCACAAGCTGGTCCAGGTAATCTAGAAGTAACTGTAAATGGAGGACGAGTTCCTACATCAGCACAAGCACAAGGACAACACACATATGCTATAAGTTTCACTCCACGAGATGCTCAAAACCATACAGTTGAATTACGTTTTAACGGTCAGGACGTACCAGGAAGCCCATTTACATGCCGCGTATCTGCCGCAGCTAGGGTAATAGCTCCTGAATCAATGGACAAAATAAGTGTTGGGCGTGTTTTTGAGTTTGTAGTAGAATCAGATGTTGTTCCGATAGTTGAAGTTTTAGGACCTGCACGCCGGGCGGTTCCAACAAAAATTGATCCTATTGAACGTGGCCATAAAGTTAAGTTTGAGCCTCTTGACGTCGGTGATCATTCAGTAGAAGTGCGTTTACCAGGCGGGGGGCATGTTGAAGGCAGTCCATTTTTGTTAAAAGCATATTCAGCTGAAAAAGTAATTGTAACTGATATTCGTCCCGGAATAGTGGGTAAAAGTGTTAGTTTTGGAATAAATGCAAGTCAAGCTGGTGCTGGAAATCTTGAAATTATTGTTGCAGTTAACGGGAAAAATGTTCCTAATTTTGTTCAGTCAGAAGGTAATGCAAGATTTAAAGTGAACTTCAAACCTACAGAGCCAGCCCCCCACTCTCTTTCTGTCAGATTCAATGGTCATCCAGTACCTGGATCACCGTTTACATGCCATATTTCGCCAGCGCCAATTGCAATTCCAGCTGTAGCAACAGGTGAATCTCTTAAATTAGCATCAGTGAAAATGGATAATCAATTCGAAATGGAAGGCTTTCAAGGCATTGAGCCCCAAGTATTTGTAACATCTCCTGCTGGAGATAATGTAGATTGCACTGTAGTACAACGTGGAGAAAAGTATATTGCCACGTTCCGTCCAAGTGTCGTAGGAAGGCATTTAATTAGCGTTACAGCAAATGATCAACACATAAATGGTTCTCCATTTTCTTGCAACGTTTTTGATGTATCTAGAGTAAGTATCAGCGGTTTAGAACAACATGACGGGCCAACTGCATTAGCCGTTCCAGTTACATTTAGTGTTGATGCAGCTGGTGCAGGAGAGGGAACACTAGAACTAGTTGTTTCCACGGAAACCAGTACTGTCAAAGCAGAGGTTGTTGCCTGTGCTCGAGGTTTATATGATGTAACTTTTGTACCGCAGACTTGTGAACCTCATTTCGTTAACATCACATTTAATGATTTACAAGTTAAAGGAAGTCCGTTCCGTGTAGAGGTAGCTCAAACCAATAAACAATTTCAAATTGGTAGTTTGGCGATTATTGACCTACCATCTGAAGATCAAATTATTGAAGTTATTGGACCAGATCACAAGGTTGTTCCTTATACCTTGGTGCAAACAAGTGCTGAATTTCGTACTCATATGATTGGAAATTATGTTATCAGATTTATTGACCGAGAAACAAGACATCACATTACATCGAGGACACTGTCTGTATTTGATCCAACGTTAGTGAAAATAACAGAAGTTGGAGAAGCTCTTTGTCATCGACCAGCAACAATAGCGGTTTCACTGAATGACGCTGGCCAAGGAACCCTTTCAGCATTAGTGAGATGTGGTTCCACGGAAGTTCCACATTCAATTAGAGGTCCTTCTAAAAATGGTAATTGGGAAATTGTGTATCATCCAACTAGAGTTGCACCTCACAAAATTACAATCATGTTTAACGGCGTACCAATTTCATCAAAATCCCTCGAAATAAATGTCTTACCTTCTGGAGCCGGTAAAGAAATAAGTGTTAATGGGTTGGGGTTGTACCAAGCAAGATCAGGAAAAACTACTTCATTTTCAATTGACACAACTGGGCGACCAGCTAGAGAATTTGATGTGGTTGTTTCAGGACCTGGTGGTCAGGCTTTACCTGTTAGATGCTACCAGACAAAAGGTGGACATTTACAAGCCGAATTTACTATTAATAAAGTTGGACCATGCATAATTGAAGTTTTACACCAATCTAAACCATTACCAGGCAGTCCATTCACGTGTGAGGCATTTGATTCAAGCAGAGTTGTTCTACAAGGTATTCAAAAAGGCCCTATGAATATTCACAGCCCGATTTCTTTTGTTGGTAAATTTTGAATTAGTTTTGATTTGAATAATTTAACAAAATAGTAAAACTTGTTTATCCTAGTGAAATCTGACCAAGCTGGAGTAGCTGAAATTGAAGCTTTAGCAATTTCACCCATAGGACAAAATGTTCCAATCAAAGTACAAGAACAAGTAGAAGGACTTCACACCATAGAATTCAATCCTAATATGCCAGGTACATACAAAATTACTGTACTCTATGGAGGAGAACCTGTACAAGGATCTCCAGTTACATTTAATGTAACTACTTCTGGAGCAAAGACTGATTCAAGAGCAACTGGAAACGGGCTTGAAGTTTCTCATCGAGGAAAAGAAACTTCTTTCGTTGTATATTGCCCAACTACACCGAATGTTCAAATTGAAAAAGTAGATGAATTTGCAGAAAGGATCGAGCCAAAAATTAGAGTAAAATTACAAATCATATTTTATTTAAAATATTTTAAATTCTATTTTATTTGTAGTCTATTGGAAATAATGAATGGCGTATATCATACACAATTCTTTCTGTTGGCAAATATGATATTCGTGCCAGCTGTCCCAATCGAGGTGCACTTCCAGGATCACCTTGGACAATTTCTTGCGTGGATTCTAATAAAGTAGCACCTGTTGGAGGATGGGGATCACTATTAGATTATGAAGGTCGATTAATTCTTCCAGCTAGAATAGTTTTTGATATATCACAGGCTGGGCCTGGTGAATTAGTTTGTACTATTGATGGTCGAGAGGTTCCTGTTGACAAACATTCGGACGGAAAAGCAAGAATATTTTTATCAGCCGACAATTTAATTCCAGGAGAACATGACTTTGATTTAACATGGAGCGGTGTTTCGATTAGTCAATGTCCTAGAAGTGCATTTGTAACAGCACAACAAGCCGCAGACAAGGTAGTTTTAACTGGTAGAGGTTTAGCTGCTGCACAAGCTGGAGAAGCAGCACATTTTACAATTGATGCAACAGAAGCTCCAGCAGGACGTCCTGAAGTAATTTTAATTCACCCAGATAATACAGCCGTGCCTGTTAGTTTAGCACAACCACGACCGAACGAAGCAGTTTGGCTAGCTTCGTATACTCCACAAAAATCTTCCTCAGGTCCTTTAACATTAACAGTTAAATGGAATGGAAGAATTGTTAAGGGTTGTCCTTTAAACGTTGCCGTTGGATCTTCAGTTGATTCATCCAAAGTAATTTGTTCTGGTGAAGGCTTACGACATGGCATCGTCGGGAAAGAAATTAAATCATGGATAGATACAAGAAGAGCTGGGCCTGGCGAATTAACAGCACATTGTGCTGGTCCAAGAAAGGTGGCATACTGTGAATTATATGATCATGGTGATGCAACTTTTACATTAAATATAAAACCACAAGAAGCTGGACGCCATTTACTTACAATAAAATATGGTGGACAGCATGTTACTGGATCACCTTTTGCATTAAAAGTCGCTGGTGCACCTGATGCTAGTAAAGTAAGTTAATACAATTTTAAAGATTTTTTCAAAGAAGTAATATTCATTAAATAATTTCTTTAGGTACGTGTGTATGGACCTGGTATCGAACATGGTGTATTAGCAACGTTTCAATCTCGCTTTATATGCGATACGCGTGGTGCTGGCGCTGGCCAATTAACAGTACGAGTACGTGGACCTAAAGGTGCTTTCAGAGTTGAAATGCAACGTGAAAGTCAAAAGGATCGTACAATATTATGTAAAGTAAGTAATGAATTGAAGTTCTATTTACAATGATAATTTAAACTAATATTATAAAAATTTTTCTTATGTAGTACGACCCAACTGAACCGGGTGATTATCGTGTAGAAGTGAAATGGGCTGGAGATTTTGTACCCGGATCACCATTCCCTGTAATGATATTTGACACTGAAGAGGAGCTTAGACATTATTTGCAAGGCATTTAAATTAATAGTAAAGAACGTGAATAAATACATTATAAGAATGACAAAAAATAATTACTCAACTTGAAATAAAAAATGCAATGAAAATTTATCAATGAGCGAATATCAATGGGCGAAAATTTCTTAATTTATAGAATTATGTAAAGAAATGGCAATCAACGAAAAATATTTGAATTTTAATTATAATCTTTATCTATTTTGTTTATAATGTTATAAAATATATAAAAAAAAAATTTACTTTAATATTATTATAATAATATTTTATTATTGTTTCCGTCTTTTGAGAAAATTTATTCCATTAATATTTTTAAAAAATTTTATTTTTTGAAATAAATTTAATTATTTAACAAATTTAAAAAGTTTTTGTGATTAAAGATTTCAAAATAGTACAAAGAAGAGAACCTACTCTCCAGAACCCGAAATGAATTTAACTTAATATAATTAATTAAACAGTTATTTGCTTAAAAAACCTTTATGAGGGCAAAGTATGGGAATTTTCAATTAATTAGTTTAAGAATATTACTCGTATTCTTAAGTCAATTAAAATTAGCCAATTTATTAACAAAAAAATATAGTACCGAAACAATATTTTTCAAATTAAATGTTTTTAGTGACATCTACCATTATGTAGAGTTTACATGCATTAATCCGGTTGCTGTCATAACTCAGCATATAAATTCTAAAATTTCGGAGTTTCATGAAAATATTTATTCGCTTCAAAAATTCAAAAGGTTTGTGTCTTAAGTGGAATATTTTTAAATAAATATTTACATTTAATTTAAATGGTTTGACCTCATAGTAAAGTTGAATTATTTTTTTAGGTAATAAGGTGAAAATTCAGGAATTTGTTTAATAACAAAATTATTTGAATTCATCGTAAGATGTCGCTAAAAGTTTTGTTGAGTTAACAGAGTTGAATTGAAACAGAAGTGCTGAATGAAAATAATAGATTTTGTGCTTCTTTTAGTGCCATCTGCAATGTAATTTCCAATTCAGAAACAAAATCGAAATAAAAAATTTTAAAAAAATTGTTCAAGGACATTTCAAATTTGAATTTGTAAGTGTATTTTAACAGTAGTATGTAATATTGAAATATCAAAGATTTTTGCAGTATGATGATAAAAATTAATGCATAATGGTTACTTTAATTTACAATCATATACGTACATAAAACAATTTATTTATTTGTGACTATATCATATCATTAGCCATGAAATTGTATTGATGGTTACTTAAAAATGAATAATGAAGTGCAAATTCTTCAGATTAAATTCTGTCAACTTGACGTAATATTAAAAACAACATTTCTTTTTAATTCATAGTTTTATTAAAAATTGGGGGTTTTCGTTTATGCACGCTACGCTAAAAGATCTACATTAGAACTAAAATTTCTAAGCCGCAGCGTTAAATAGTATACAAAATTTTAGCTATGTTTTTTTTTGTTTACGCAGTCTGCAAATTCTGAAACTTCTAAATAATCAGTCGTTCGAAAATAACAGAAATAACATTGTTTATGAAATTGTATCCCAATACTTTTCCCCTGCCAAATCACTGCAAAATAAGGAAATTTTTACAAGATTTGAAGACTTGAACCATTCAAAACAAATTTCATGGGGCAGCGATAACATTTAAACTAGAGGTGTGCGCTACATTTCTAACATTCCTTTATTACAGATTGAATATTATAGATTACAACTGCTAACGCACTTTATTACAGCCAGTAATTTCCGAACGATCTATATATTTTCATTGTATGCATCGCGAGTTTTTGAACGTCATGAAAACCCTCATATTCTTAAGAAATTATTGTATTTATCAGAGTAATTAGAGAAAGATTTTTAAGAGCTTGTATTCCTAGAATGTAAATCTATAAAATTTCTAACATCATTTAATCACATTTAATTTTTTAAATATTTCAGATACTGTGATTATGTAGAACAATTTACTTTATTACAGGCGCATATCACTTGTATGTTATACATTGTACTTATACACTCATTGCGTATGTAAACTTTTGGTTATTCCCTTGAAATTTTTAAAAATTTTTCAAAGTCGTATTGTACAAGGGTTTACCGCTCCAATAAATCTTATATGAAATTTTTTCCTTTTTTATTATTACGAAAATTGTTTAAAACACAAAATTTTTTTTTTTTGGTTTTTTGTTTTTTCATACACATAAGTAGAGTGTAGGAATGTAGAATACAACAATTTTTTTTTGTCAAAATAGAAAACAAAAAACAAAAATACAGGTATTTATATTATACCTGTATTACTCATATTAACATTACAATTCTCGCAAAACTCCGTGAAATTTTCTATGTGCGAGTATACAATAATTGAATTGAAGAAAAAATAGAGCAGAGATGGATTTACAATTTGACTTTTTAAAAGTTATGTATAAGTACACATAAGTATGTAACATTCATGTGATTGCATGGGAGCTGCAAATCATCATGAAGAAGAAAAGATTTTCACATCAATATCCTTTAAATATGGCAAGGTATTATTCAAATCTAACTTAACTTGTCTAAATGGGACCAAGTATTATATTAAAAATAATTTTAAGGATGCAGAAAACGGAACCTTTTATTGAAAGAATTTTTTTTGATTTTTTGAGATTTTGTAGATGAAAATAGAAAAAATCGTCATATTTTTTTTTTCTGGTACACGTCGGTTGCTTTATATTTAATGATAATCTTCGTCTCCTTTAATTAGGGAGCTTATAACTCAAATATAGTTTTCCTTAATTTATGATTTTAAAAAATGCATTCGTTTAAATGCATAAATTTTCTTCTCATAAACGATTAATTGTAGGAGCATTCATGCTCTAAAAATATTATTATTCGTATTTAACTTTAAATACATACACACATATAATGGATAAAAAACGCAAAATTTACAGTTCAATGGAAAACCTTTTTATACCCTGCACTTCGTGAAGGGTATATTAACTTTGGTATGGAGTTTGTAACTACTTGAAGGAGCCATCTGCGGTATGGACATATATATATATTCTTGCTCAGCGTAAAATTCTGCGTTGATTTAGACATGTCCGTCCGTCCGTCCGTCCGTCCGTCCGTCCGTCCGTCCGTCCGTCCGCCCGTCCGTCCGTCCGATCGCACGATAACTCAAAAACGAATAATGCAATCGACATCAAGCTTTCACAAGTTGCTTCTTTTGTGCCAAGGACGAACCCTATTGTTATTGGACCAATTCGGACAACGGGTTCGGGTAGCTGCCATACAACTCAAAGAGTTTATTTTAATTATTTCAAAAACTAATAAAGGTACAAATATAAAATTTTGTATACATGTGTCCAATTATATTCTACATATGTTATAAAAATTATAATGGGGTAGCTGCACCGGTTCGGGTGGCTGCCATACAACTCCAAAAGCAAATTTTTTATATTCGGCAAAATAATAAAGTCAGATTCATGAAACTTGGCAGTCGTGTGTCCAATTATAGGTCAAAGATATTTCTGAAGTTTTGGTGGAATTGCTTGACAGGTTCGAGTGGCTCCCATACAAGTCCAAAAGCTTATTTTAAATATTTGGAAAAATAATAAAGTCAGATTCATGAAACTTAGCAGTTGTGTGTCCAATTATAGGTCAAAGATATTTCTGAAGTTTTGGTGGAATTGCTCGACAGGTTCGAGTGGCTCCCATATAAGTCCAAAAGCTTATTTTAAATATTTGGAAAAATAAAAAAGTTAGATTCATGAAACTTGGCAGTTGTGTGTCCAATTATAGATCAGATATACCTGCGAAGTTTTAGTGGAGTTGCTTGACAGGTTCGGGTGGCTCCCATACAAGTCCAAAAGATTATTTTAAATATTTGGAAAAGTAATAAAGTTAGATTCATGAAACTTGGCAGTTGTGTGTCCAATTATAGATCAGATATATTAGCGAAGTTTTAGTGGAATTGCTTCGCAGGTTCGGGTACCTGCCATACAACTCCAAAAGCTAATTTTAAATATTTGGAAAAATAATAAAGTCAAGTTCATGAAACTTGGCAGTTGTGTGTCCAATTATAGATCAGATATATTTGCGAAGTTTTAATGGAGTTGCTTGGCAGGTTCGGGTACCTGCCATATAACTCCAAAAGCTAATTTTAAATATTTAGAAAAATAATAAAGACAGATTCATGAAACTTGGCAGTTGTGTGTCCAATTATAGGTCAAAGATATTTCTGAAGTTTTGGTGGAATTGCTTGACAGGTTCGAGTGGCTCCCATACAAGTCCAAAAGCTTATCTTAAATATTTGGAAAAGTAATAAAGTTAGATTCATGAAACTTGGCAGTTGTGTGTCCAATTATAGATCAGATATATTAGCGAAGTTTTAGTGGAATTTCTTGGCAGGTTCGGGTACCTGCCATACAACTCCAAAAGCTAATTTTAAATATTTGGAAATATATTAAAGTCAGATTCATGAAACTTCTCAGTCGGATGTCCAATTATAGGTCAGACATATCCGTGAAGTTTCTATAGAATGACTTCAGAGGTTTGAGTAATTGCTATACAACAATAAAAGGTGCAGGGTATAATTCAATCGGTTCATACCGACTGAAACGTTTTTACTTGTTATTAATATAAATGCGTTCTTACAAATCTTTTCGAATATAATTTTTGTTTGCATCACTTATTGTACACATATGCACATACATTAATAATATATAATTTAATTGGTTCAATATATGAACCAAGTATATATGTAGAGTGTATCACAATATGTGGTTGTGTACAAGTATCGAGTATATATTAGAGTTTTATACTCACAAATATATTATATTTTATGCAAATGAATCCTTTGAACTTTTCAATATACAAATTTGAAATTTTATGGGCTTTTAATTCATTGCGTGTACCTTATACTTTATACAATGTTCTTTATAAAATATTCTCGTTTGCTGGTATGTGTATTACTAAATATGTTATACAATATAATACATAGCAATCTACAAGCATAAGAGCTTGTATATTTTATAAAATGCCAACAAAGGATTTTGAATATATAATTTTGAATTATGTGTATATTACGTCTCTGTGTAATATTTGAAAAATGTTTTTAATTTCAATATAAACAGTTAAGTTCCTATATAAATGAATATTAGACTTTGAACTCATCAGTTGTTTAATAGATGCAATCGCACAAGAAACGCACACACAAAATACTTTCCACTTACTTAAAAATCACATAATACAAAATTATTTTCAATTTCCATATTTGCTATACTAATAGATAAGGTCTATCGACACCATTTCTTTAAAGTTATAATTTAAAACATGAAAAAATTAAAACTACAAAAATTTTTTTTTATCCGTGCCATGGTGAATACTCAAGCACAT